TTGTTCTACCCCGCTACTAATTACAAACTGACCACCACATCCCGGGGCGACCCCTCTATGTCACAATTCTTGTAAAATTAGTTTATGACAGGTAGGGCTTCCCACAAGACGGGACAGTCTTGTCTTGTCTTGACAAGACGGGAAAACAAGACGGGACAAGACGGAAGTTTACGTCCCGCGTTTTGGCAAGCAAGACGGGACACGGGACGGGACAAACAACGTCTTGTCCCGTCTTGTCTCGGCAAGACGGGACGTCTTGCGACCATTTAAATATGATAATTTCGTCTCGGAATTCATAAAAATTGAATTTAAAACTTAGCACAAAGGTGGTATTTGTTCAGTAAAATACAACTTGAGTGAAATCATAATTCCCTTAAAATGGAAATTCGATCGAAACGAATCATCGAATATTTTTCGGATAGCTTTATCTAATCCGTTATCATTAAATAGAATTTAGAAGTTAGAATTTTGTGTACAATACGAACATGAAGTCAAGTCTTGAGAACATAAATTTCCAAACAAGCAGTTTCCCATCAAACCAAAACAGAGGTTTTCCGTTTTAGGGATGGCAAAGGTCTTTTTGCCACTCCCCTGTGTAATGTGATTTTTACCAGTCGAAACCTTGGTTAAATTATTCTATAATTAGTACAAACACTTTGGATCATGCATCCTGAAGCAAACTTAAATTTTGTGAATGGATTTAAAATTTAACCCATTTAAAACATGTCCGTCCCGTGTTGTCCCGTCTTGCACGGGACGGGCAAGACGGGACGCAAGACAAGACGGGACAGCTTGTAGTCCCGTCTTGTCTTGATATTTCGTCCCGCAGATTGTAACAAGACGAGACAAGACGTATAATCTTGTCTTGTCCCGTCTTGTGGGAAGCCCTAATGACAGGTTTATTATTATTCTTAAATTTGGATTTGTAAGTTTTGACGGGTTTTGACGGGTTTTGACGGGTTTTGACGGTTTTTTATGAGATTCGTGAAATTTTTGTATTAATTGTTGTTCTTCTTATTTCTTATTTCCAGTTCAGAAAATTGAATACGGTTCAATATGCCTCAAATCTTTGGCCATTGCCGACCCATGTTTTTTACGAGTTCCTCTTTTCTCTCCCGACTTTCTCAACTTTCTTAAGTGAAAAGCAACCGCTCCATTTATTCCACATCGCTCTTGGTTTCTCTTTCTCTCGGAGAGCTTGGGAATTCGGAGAAGAAAAAGAAAACTAAAATAAAATGTGGAGGAAATCAAACCGCAAACCACCCGCAAAGTAAAACCGAGAAATTCTTGTGGTCTGTTGGAAATCCTTCAAATTTTGTGTTTCTTTGTTGGGCGGAGAAGGGATCCAGTCGAGTTGATGCTTGTCCAGGAGAAAGGAGAGAAAGGTGAACGGAGGTGAGCGACGGATATGTTTAATCGATGATGCTGCGAAATGGAGAAGTTCTCGACTTTCTCTTTTTTTCCTCTGCAAGTGGAAATCTGGTCGGTTTCTTTTTCTACTTTTTGATTTTTATGGTATCAAATCGGTTGTGGTTTTCGAGGTGTAATAAAATAAATTTCTGAGGAGGATGGATCATGTAAGGAATAAATCGTGGATAATTTTTGGTACACGAGTGGATGTTTTGGACAAATTACGACAAGCAAAAAATGGGAAGTAGTGTTTGTTTGATGGAAAATGTCTGAACAAACATAAAGCAAATATTTTTCGATAAAAACTTTATATTTTTTTAGCACAATTTTGTAATTTAGTAATTTCTATTTGTCTGAATTCAAAATTCAGACACGAATTTTGGAGATGAATTGGTTCCGGAAATTACTCAGATTAGAGGAGGAAATTGCACCGGGACTCCTGGTTCGGGAGTAATAATAAAAGAATTGGAAATTTTTGCAGGGTTTTCAATTTTTATACAATTTCTATTTTTACGGATCCACCGGAACTCAATATTTTTTTCGGGAAATTATACAACTCTATGGCGGAACTCAATTGGAATAATTTTACAATTTATTTGTACAAGGGTGAAAGATCTTGTTTCCAATTTATTTATTTTTACAAAAGGAGAAGAATCCCAGCTGGGAAACTGTGCGAAATTGAGGAGCGTCTGTTGCTACTTTTGCTAAAATATCCTTCCGGACTTGAAGGGATCCCATTTAGATCCAAATCCAGTTTTGGGGGCAGACAGGGTTCTCCGAGAGAATAAGAAATTCAATTATTAAAAAAAAACTATAACTACAGAAGTTTGGTCACGAAATACACTGATCCCGGGTGTAATTGTCCTCAAAATTTTGTTAATTTCGTTTTTCCCCTCTACAGCATGTAAAAAAACTCGACCAGATAACCTCTCAGATTTTCTTGTCTCTATTTTTTTAAGGTGGACTAGTTACTACTTTGCGGAGGCTGGTAAATATTTCAGTATATAATTTCCACTAAAGTCAAATTCTTCTCTATCCCGGACAAATTGACTTCTGTAAGTTTCTAGTTTTTTTACAATTTGTCATTAACTGGTCTATAGTTCAGTCAAATAAAAATGTTTTGATTATAGCATCCATTTACAAAAGGTAAGAGGAAAATCGTATTCAAAATCAATCACAAACTTATGCCAGTCAAATGAATCTCTCAATTTAGCAATGTTTTTGGTACGCTATTCAAAAAATTACTCGTTTACAAGCATGTTTTAAATTATGAATAGTTAAATTTGACAAAAATTGAATAAGTTACACGCCATACTTAAGTTTTTTTGATAGATTTCTTTATAATTTATTATAGATCCCCCACTGATATTCACTTGAGGTTTATGGATATAAAATTTTCTAAAATTTTGTTAGATTGGTAAATTTGGTTAAATTCACTTTACTGTTAGGCGAAATATTTTAGCCTGGAATATTTTAGCCTGTAATTTAAACATTAAAATTTCATAAGGTTACCCTCATTTTCAGACACTACAAATTTTCGCACGATTTACAAGTCACGTTTATACAACCGGAAATGTTCATTTTGCTGATAATAATGTTTACAATTTGAATTTAGCGAATCCTATTTTAAATGTATTTCCCAATTTTGGAGAGCACTTCCGGAACACTGGGATCTCATCGAGCCGTCCATCCATCTGTGCGAACCATAAGCCGACGACCCAGCAGCGAGTTGGCTGTACGAATGTAGGGAAGTGACCTAATTGTTAAGGATTTGTGTGCTTTTACTGCTCAATTCTCCAGAGATTCTACCAAGGATTATTTTCTCCGGATGGAAAATGAGAGAAAACGGGGAAAGCTGGAAATCTCATTTCAGACTCTCTCACAAATGCGATACAGCAAGTTTGGCAGAATTTTGCAATAGAAAATTAAACTAAAAGATTTTAATCGGTTTTCGAATTGGTTGGTGGTGAAGTTTGATAGGATTTTAATTGTAAAGATTCTACAATTTTATTTGGTTTTTGAAATGATGGTGAATTATTATCATAAAAAGTTTACAAATATATTTTCGTCCAAATTGAGCAACATTGAAGATTTTAATTTTTTGGTCTGGGAAATTGTGTAACAGTCTGACCCAATAAGTCCAAATGTGGGCCAAACTTGCAAAATTAAGCAACTCTATTTTGGTTCCAAGATAGGAAATTGCAGCCAAAATTAGAATAATATTTGCAATGACTAGCCAAAATTACGATAATTGCTGTTACACGAATAAATACCTGAAGAAATAATTTATGCAGAGGAAGAGTAATTAATTGTAAGTGATTATAACTAATGGACGTAAATTAGCAGGTAATTGTACTAGAATTAAATGGAATAATATTTAAATACTATTGCGCAATTATGTGCTGATACACATGAATATTCAGAGCGTATTTAATGAAATTTAACAATTTTTTTGCATGCATTAATTATTCTGTCTCGTTAGTAAAAAAAACTTTAGAAATCGATTTATTTGACACATTATCATAAAAGGGCGAGTGTATTTGGTCAATTATGTACATCATCATGTGATTTTCAATCAAATTTCTTTGTAATATTAAAAGTCAAAATTTTGCCGAATTTAAATTCTGTAAATAATTATTGAAACAATTAATCGTATAATTACATTAAACGAAGATATGATTATACGTTTTCCCATAATTTCTAACTAATGTAACAGTATACATAACTTCAATTTCAAAAACCTAATATGCAGAAGCCATTTGAGAATCCTCATGTCGTAAAGTTAGACTTTTCAAAATTACGAAATTTATGGTAAAAACGTTGTATTTTGTTTGTCTCCAACTTTTCTAATTGTTCTATCCCTTAGCCTAAAAGAATGAAGACTTTGCTAATTATTTTTAGCGAACTATTCCAGTATTTTGTGGGACATTTATTTATTTCAAGGTATGAGACAATAATTTATACAATTAGTTTTCATACTTCTTCATTTAACGTAAACTATTTATATTTTTTTTAAATACCAAATGTTAAATAGATCACAGTGATCACACATTTTGTAACCAAATTTGCAAAGTCATTTTCCCGGTTACAAGACGAATGTCCAGTCCATGCACATGTTTTGTCCCTGATTTCTCACTCCTCACATAATTCTTTCCGAAATCGGAGGAAAAGATTGATATCCGAGTTCTATATGCCGATCAGACCAGACTTTCTCCACGAAGAAAAAGTGCAAATACACCAAAAAGGGCAAGGACAAATTTACCTCTCACAACAATTCTCGATTTTAAATATGTCACAAATTTTGTCAAAAATAATTGATTATAATTTTGCATATTTATGTTCATACTTGCAAATATGTGAATATGCAAAATTATGTTATCAATTTGGATATTCAGTCATTTTATGTTATCTTCACGTTTTAAATAACACATGAAATATGACGACTGTCGAATCCATGATACATACGTTTGTCCCTGATTTAATACTTTTGAAAGTCGGAGGACAAGATTGATACTCGAATTTTATTTGCCGACCAGACCAGATTTTCTCCACTGGAAAAAAGTACAAATAAAGAGGAAGAACTCACTTACCTTTCACAACAATTCTCGCCCCTTCACTCGTCATCACCTCGTTCGTCAGTTTGTGCAGCGTTCGGCACGCCAACACCTTTCGTCCGTCAGACTCGTCCACGCTGAACACGTGCAACTCTCCAGACGGCAGCAGGAGCCATTTGCCTGCAAAAAGAAGAAAGAAAAAAGTATGACAAAAAATCTTGACATGAAAAAGGTTTCCACTCAAAAAACTTTCTCCATCACTTTCTCGTTTTTTTTAATGTGTGACATTTTTTTGGGGGAGGAAATGACCCAGAATAAAATTAGAGTGAAAGTAAACTGTGACGAGGTGGGGAATTGCATCATCTTTCTATGGTACAGAGAGTGCCTTATTTTTTTGCAAAGTTTTCGAGAAATCAAAGCTTGCACTTTTCCCTTTTTGAAAATCTACTAAAGGTTCTGTAATAAACACCTTTTTGTATAAATACAATGACCGCTGTGATTTTTCGCAAGTATTTTTGCAAAGTTACAGAATGTTGATTTTTTCTGAAACACTTTAAAAAAAACGTTAGGAAGATGCACACCTGAGCAGTATTTTTGATAAATACTTCTTCGCAAATAAAATTTGTGGCGTATTTCTTTGCAATTATTTGTTGCAAAGTTTTTAAATAGAGAACTTGTGTGGGCGAAATTGATGAAGGAGACTAAAAAACGAATAAAATGTTAGTGTTGCATAACAATTTCATTATTTTTTTCCTAAGTTTCACCAAGTTGGAATAAATTTGTGGTGGAATAAATTTGCAAAATTAATTATGTCTAGCAAATATTTTTTTTGCAAAGTTTTCGCAACAGTGGGAACACAGGGAAATAAGTTAGTACATAAATAACCGACCTGTTTGGAAGTTGGGATATATGTTGAGTGATCCATCTTGCACCCAGGAAGTCACAGTAATATAGTCCACAAGCTCGGGAGGCACGAGACAGCTGCGGAAAAATGAAGATACAAATTATTAAATTTTAATTACATCAATCAATTCACCAAAATTTTTTACGAAGGTCGCCAAATTTTGGCTCAACCTTTGAAATTTTTTTGGGCCAAGATTTAGATCTTTTTCATTACTTAAAAGGTATACTTAAGAGGGAATTAAGGGTGCGTTTATACTTTACCCCTTGGTAACTTGCGGCATAGTTGAATTATCACATTGGCACAAGATACCAAAAGGAGTGAAGTATAAACCCACCTTAAATTTCCTAAATTGATGTTTAGGTAGAATTATTAATTCCTATGGTATGAAAATCAAAAAAAGGCAGGTATGGTATTCTGGGTATTTATTTAAATACGGGCAAATATGGCATATTGCAAATTGCATTTGTCTCATACACTAGTTCAATCTTTCGTATTTTTGGGAATCTATATTTTTATTTATTTCAAAAACGGCTTCTTTGTTGGACAAATTATTAAAATTCGAAAATAAAATGTAATTAGTTTTTTAAGTCTGTCAAACAAAAAATATTTCTAAATTATTTGCAAACGTTGATGAAATAATGTTGTCAAATAAAAAGAGTGAAGCGATTAACACTTTGGTCTTTGGTAACTTTGTAAAATCCGTGCGTTTTATTGAATAATTTTACAAACTTTTACAAATGAGACGCGCTTGATCGAAGTAGGTTTACAAAAAATTTGCAAGTCATGTGTATACGTGAGAATATTTTTTGAACCTTGTTTATGCTTCCGAAAATTAGGATTCGTTAATTTCTTAAAAGGTGTTTTAATTTAACAAATTATTAAAATATGAAAATAAAATGTCGCTATTTTTTGCATGTGTCAAACTAAAGAGATTATCCAAATTTTAAATAATTTGCAAATGATGAGGAAATAATTTTAGCAAATAACACTTTCATAAATTCGGTAGACTTGAAAACTCTCACAAAATTTTATAAATACATATTTCCAAGGAAAATTAGCGTGCAAATTTTTGCAACTTTATTCAGACCAAGGGGTCTCTTTGTTTTGTAAATTCATGTAACATTATTGTATAAAATTTGGTTTTACAAAGCTAGCAATGACTGTGTGGATTCCTTCAATAATTTGATGAAATTTTAAACTTGTCATACATTACGAGGTAGTTGATTGATTGAGGGGAGTCGATTAATCTCACAATTTGATGTAACCACGTGTCCCATAATTTGCAAAATGACGAGATAACTGGCTTCATGACAAGAAGAAAAAACTCACCGTAAAAGGGCATTATTTCCCCGGATCACGGCCACGTCCGGATTTTGGATGTGGAACGGGGTGTCCAGCACTGCAAGAATTCCAGAGATGAAGAACACAAGTTCCAATTAAAATGACATAACGACAGAAATTTTGGGGAGGAAAACTCATTATTTTTTGTGTAAGTTTTCCCCAGAAAGTTTTGCTTTCAGTTATCCCTGGATTTCTTACCTGCACGAACCACGACTTCCGGACTGATAATTGTTCCCGACGGATTACTAAGTTTGCACCGAAGCGTCGCAAAGTGAACGTCGGGTCGGAACTTGTCAATGGGAAAGGGGAGAAAGCGTATGTTTCCGGTTGGCAGCACCTGAAAATGGATGAAAGGGATTAATATTTCCTAAGGAATTTGTGTACAGTTGAATTTGATTTTTTGTTACGAATTTCAAGAAAACTAGTTTGTAGAGTAAACTATTAATTATTTATAAGTTTTGTTCAAGAAGATTTTGACTAGCCAACCGAATTTTCGAGATTTCCAAAAATACTTTTTGAAAAATTGAAGAATTTTCATTATTTTTAAATCGGAAGAAACAGTTTGATTCAAAAATTTGAAACTATAAATATTGTCCGACATTATAATTTATTTAAAATTTCATCTGTGCAAAATGCGAGCTTTACATATTTATGATTAGCTTATTAATCCTGTGAATTAATTAATGCAACTGGTACACATTACATTTAAAATACAAATTGTTATCGCCACTAAAGTAACACTTTACTATTTTAAAATTCGGAAAATAATAATCCCAGAAATTCCTATAAAATCGAATTTTTTCCATGGAACGTCTCAAATCTATTGGGATTGTATGTATATTGTTCATATATAAAGAAGCCTGGCCAATGTACGTAAATATATCGAATTTTTCGGGGTTTGTTTTCATTACGAAGAAATGAGAGACGAAATTTATATTTTTTGTACTTTTGATTTTAGAAATAGTTTGACGTCAAATGTAATATTTTGTAGTAAATTATAACCCTTGAAAAGATTCAGATTGGCACCAAATATATTGCACTTTTTGCTATAAGGGTTCCAAGTGACCCACGATTACATTAGCGGAAAACAACAAGAACACTTCCAATTCACCTCAAAGCTATTTGTCCTGTTACACTTTAGGCGTAAATTATTACCGTCGCTAAAATTTACAAATAGAAAATACTGAAAATAATACTAAAAATCTCGATTTACTTATGTAAACTTGAATTTTTACCATGAGTCGTCTCAAACCTAGGGGGATTTGCAAATTTCTAAGTATCAACAAGGCTCACTTTACGCGTTTCGAGTTTTGTTTGAAAACGAAGAAATGAATTTGGAGGAGGTTTTGAGACAGGAAATTTATAGATTTTTATGTATTTCCAAGTTTAGAAATAGTTTAACGACAAATGTAATATTTTGAAGTAAATTGTGACGTTGATTAAGTTTTAAGATAATTATGCTTCCACATATAAGGTTGTAAATTTAGCGAAATTTTGAACTAAAATTTTGAAAAATTTGTGGTAAAAAATATTCATTTGCATAATTCGATTTCATTTATCCTGTAATTTTTTTAACATGGGAAAACCGTGATACGTGCGAAAACAATTTTGTTTTCAACGAATAAAACAATTGTACAAACTTTACAATATACAAATACAAAACGCATGAATCTACACCCGAACTTATTTAGCATCCTACCAGACTTAGATTAGGAAAGCACGTGATTGATTTTCAATTAAAATTTTGAACATCCCAACCAATAATTTGAAATTAACATGACAAACGTGATGGCTTGACCCGTCCATACTAATCGATTCCACAATTTGCGCACAGTCCCCCACTTTCCTTTCTCTGCTTTCATTACTCTGGCCCATTGTAAATTTTGATCTCGTTTTCACCACTCAAAAACCAGACAGAACAGCCCACACAACACTCGCAAACAAATTCCGTCCGTGCAAATGGATGGACTTGGTCAGCCACACAAACACTCATTCACTTTCACCAGACCACTTCATCATCTCCACTAAATTTACTCTCCCCTCCATCCAACTTTCTCTCTGTGGATGAAACGAGGACAAAATTGGGTTCACATCATAACCCGAGAGCCATACATAACACGAAACAATCATGCTTTGTGACGTCCACGAGCTTAATTCTGCTTTCAGGACGGGTGCTTTCACCCAATTAAAATCTTTGGGGATGTTCATCTCAAAGGAATGGATGCAATTCTGCGTGGGTAAATATTTTAGAGACTGGAAACCACTCAAAATAAATTGGTTACATAAGTGTGGTAGAATATGTAAGGATTTACCGCTCTGGTAACAATTTTGACACGTCAAAATTAAAAAAAACATTATTCCATATTTTTGAGATCGATGCTAATCTTTTGTGCGATTTGCAAATCACGTCGGTCTTGGTAGTCAGAATCCGTGACTCTCTAAAGGGATCTTGGCATACGATCTAGGCATTAATAAATTGTAATTTTGCACACACTTCCGGTAATAATTTGTCACTGAACGGAAAAAATTGTTTTTTTTTCGAAATCAGAAATTTACTCCTTCAACTCATATCAACCTCGATATTCAAACTTTTATCAATTTAGCAGGATTTCCGACTCATTGAACGGGCAATACTTTTCTTCTTCTTGTCTTTATTCGGTAAAAATAATTTCCATCCATTTAACTTCCTCACTTCGTCATGAGTGCTCCTTTTTCCCACTAATTTTGCAAATTGTATCACCCCAGTAAGTAATTCTCCACTCCATGTAAAACCAGGGATTACATAATACACTCCAATCCACCGACTTAATGGCTTTATGTACACGTACTTTCACTCATTTCATCCCCAATTTAAAATCCTCTCGAACAAAATTACTCGTCGAAATACATATTTTGGTGAAAGCAGCATCCGAAGAACACGGTGTGCTCGTCTGGTCCGGAGTTGTCCCCTGATTTATGTTCTCGGTGGGTGAAAGTAGAAAGGAAATAAATAAATCGTGCCGCCGACTTTCACCGAAATTCTAATTTTGTCCTTTTCTCCATTCATTCCTCTCCGCTTGTTCCTTGATTCCTCGTCGTATTAAAATCCAATTTTGCTCACGGGGAGGGCAACCCGGTAACCAAGAGATGGATGAAATTGGACGGGAGAAAGCACGGTTTATGTTCCCAAAGTCGGAATAAAATCTAATTTCGACCCAACATAAAATTTATGTGGGTTTAATATTGAAATAAAATGGACTCGGACGGCGAATTCTTCTTCCGCGATGGAGGAGAAAGGTGGAGGAGAAAGTCTTCATTTCTTATTCGATGAATGTAATTACAGGGCGGATTATTTTGCAAATTCTTCTATATTTGTCGTTTTTAGAAAGGATTTAAACATTTGTCGAATCCGAATTGATTTGGAAATTGTAGGAAAATTTGAGTAAAGAGGATTGCAAAATAATGTATTATATCACTATTTTTAGTCAAGTTGTTGGAATTTTGGAGTAAAATTAATGCACTGAATGTGCCTGGATTTTGTCCTGTTTCTCAATTCAGGTATTTAATTTAGCAATCGACAAAATTCAATGTCCAGATATTTCAGAGAAACTAACACCAAAATTTTTTAATCCATGCACTCGGGTTATTTTTATTTTGTTGCCCTTGTTTTATAGGTTATTGATATAACAAAAGCCTATTTTTTATCTGAAAATCTTGCGTTTCTTACATATTTAAAACTAAATAATAACTTACTCCTGTAGACATAAAATTTGTAATAATTTAATATTATAAAAATTCCTATAATATTCATTCCTAAAAATGCTCTGAAATCGATTTTTTTCAGAATTTATTTTCATTTTCACTCGAGTGCATATTATTTTGCATATTGAAACATGAAATGTTAAAACGACAATCGAGAATTGTAATAAAACGACGTGCATATTTAATTGTAATAATTAAAATACAAGTGAATTTTTTGAGCGCGTTGCCAAACCCTATCTAATTCCATTTTGTTATTTAAATTAACTTCTACGAAATAAATCAATGTCGCTAAACTCGTACATTTTAAACTAACTTATGCACTGTATAAATCAAGTTTAGTTTTTCACTCAAGGTACACGTTCATTCAGTCTCTCATTTACATATTTTATTAAAATAAAATGTTGTATTCGTAATTTGTGGTGAGAATACAATTCGGCAATTCATACAGTACTTTGTAATTCAATACAATGTGTAAGTTTTGTAAAATGATTTTACTAAATAAACAGACGCCTTTGATCTGAGTACCTTTTTTAGAAAAATCTATAAGCTAATTTTCCTCAGAAATGTTTCTTAAATTTTGTAACTTTATGAATTTTACGCATTTTACAATTTTAATAAGACCTGCGTGAATTGACTCATAAATTGTTTACACGGATGACGGAGTCACTTGAAATTTCCAGAATTCACGTTAAATATACCCTCAAACCGTAATAACATGTATGTTAATATTTGGCAGAAAATGGCGAATTACAACTTTACCTTATTATTTAACCCTGAATAAATAATACTAATGCAAAAAAATAAGGTGGAGTAAGGAATCATGCAAAAAATGGAAATCCTCACGCACGAGAGAAAACATATTCTTCCTTTTATCTGCTTTCTCTCTCACTTGCTGCGACAAGGAACTGTCACTCTCACGCCAACAATACACAAAAACACAATTGGAAATAAACAAGTTTGGGGAGAGGACATGATTTCACTTTCACCACGACTTTCACCTCGTGAGAAAATTGGACCACTTTTCTCGCAAGGAAAAAAGTGTCTCATTCTATTTAAGGAAAGTAATTTATTCCTTGTGGAATGCAATGGGGGTAGTCAAGTCAAAGTTATTCGGGATAATAAAAAATTATCAAATATTAGTTTGCGAAAATGAAAATAATTCTACAATTGTCGTTAAATTAAGATAAGCAGCCATGAAAGTTTAGACTTGCAAATTAATCATGCACTATTTTGCAAAGTTGTGGAAATGCTATGAAATTTGTTTTCCAAAATTACATTGTTGAAAATTTAAATTCATTCCCGAAAAATTTATGGAAACGTAAATATTCATAATTTTACTCAGACGGACCGTGCGACAAGTAGAAGTGTGTTCCTACGTAATTTTACAAAATTTCTAAAAATATTGAAACAATTCGTCTGGTCGTTTGTAACCCAGCAAAATTTGTAATCTTACATACCTACAAAAAAAATTAAAGAAATTTGGAAAAATTAAGAAGCAGATTAAACGAATCTTTCTCATCTTTGTGAAACTATTTACAAAAGTTATACATAATTTATTCAGTGACAAACATTTACATTAGTAGTTACAATATTTGTTTTTTTAGTGAATTTTTCACGGTAGATTTTATTTTTTAACGTACTTGTAGTCCTGAAATCTTACAGGTTCGAGTCAAATTAGCTTTCTGTGTTGTTTTATTAATTCGAATGCGCCATTGTGCACCTTGAATAGAAATCCTAAAGCGAAAATTACCAGATGTACAAATTTTACGTAAATTGTTTACAACTTGTAAATTTACATATTTGCGATTATTTTTCAATCGGTTTTAGTACTTGCAGGAGCTTCTTCGATCTATTTATAAAACAATGGATACTTTAATTTTGCAAATTAAGTCTTAACGACGGCAAAGTCATCAAACTAATATTGCACCTTTATCTGAACCTGATAAAAATACCCTAAATTTAATCTTTGTGTTACAAAATGTTAACGAAAATACAATAATGTGACTAATTTTGAGTTATTGCTTAAGATACCTTTATTTTAAAAGAAATAAATCCATAAGCAGAATATCCCTACATTAAATTTATAAAATTAATGATCGCATAATTATTTTGACAAACAACATCTGTTAATTTGTCAACTTAAAATCGCCCCATTTCCAACTTAAGGCATGAAAATTTGGAGTATTTACAACGAATTGACGTGACTATCCCGAATAAACCCCATTTTTAGCATTCATTCATTTACTTTTTCCCATTCAACTCTCTATTCAAATCATATCCAAATTTTATTATATTTTCACTTTCCTCTCGTCCCTAACAATATTTGGATTCCATTTTACGATCGTGATCATCATTTCGTCCCATTCTCCCTTTCTTTCTCTGTGAATCTTTTGTGGTGGGGAAAGTTTGGGGAAAGTAAGTATCGTAAACGCGCGATTTATAACTCTTTCAAATCCAAATCGAATCCAGGCCACAATTCACAACAAAAAGCACCCCACCTGGTTTTCCCTCCTCGTCCCACACTTTCGCCACTCGGAGGACGAGGAATCACCAGGATCAAATAACTCTGCGAACCATTGTTGCTACTTCCCCAACAAACGAAATGTTTGTGTCTGCTTTCTCTTTTTGGGTGACTCGCTCTCTCTCCAGGACCAAATTTAGTAATCCTTTCTCCACGAAAACCACACTTTCACTCAGCGAGCAGGATGCATTGTGTGTTTAGGTTACAATAATATCCGAGGACAAAGAACACGCTAGGAAATTTGAGGGAACAAAATTTTTAAAAGAAAAAATAAAATATGAAAATGAGAATTTGATATTTGAATTTAAAGACTTTTTTTCGAAGTAATTACAAAAACTTTTTAGCAAACGCAAACCTTCGGGTCTTGCGATCATACAACTTTTCAACCTACAAACCAATTACTTTTCGAAATGCCTGAGCAAGTGGGAAAATTTTAAAAATTTAGAAATTTAAAGCCTTGGTGTTTTGAAATCTTATAACTTTCTCAACTTACCAAAAAAATTAAGAAAAAATAATTTTTGTCGTTTTTATAATTTAAAATTACGTATTTAATGGTTTGATATTTTCAGAATTTTAAAAGTGTCAAAGAACTCAGTGCATTCAAATATTACGTATTTTTTGAATTTAAAATTTTCTACGTAGCATTATTTAGAGTGGCGCTTGTGGGTTTTACCATAAAACGAAATTCTGTTTCGAGCAGATTATGAGAACAAAGAGGTGAAAGCAACAGAACGAGCAACGACCTCGAGTCCACGTTATTTCACTTTTTCGAGGAAGAAGGGGGCAGTGAGGCAGAAATAGAAAGTGGGAAAAGTACAAGGACAACATTTCCTTTAGAATTTTACTCCCATTTCGCTCAGTTTTGGGTGATATTGTTTTTAACAAACTTACAAAGTTGGGATAAAAAGGTGAAAGTTTGCAATAATTGCATGACTTCTGAGCCCATGTGAAATTTAGAAGAGTTTTTAATTATCAAATTTAATAGGTTTTATCCTTTGGTTTTGTACTCTTATGTTTTTAGAAAATTGCAAAGCTGAACAAATGTTACAAATTGCGTGTAACAATTTGTGAACTTTGAAATTTTTTAAAATAAATATTCATAACAAAATATACCTTATTTTTTGGGTCCCTGCGTTTATTTTTAAAGTTTTCAGAAAAATTAAAATTTTCGAAAAACGAAATACAAAATTTCGAAAGCTGTGTAATCACAGCTTTAAAAGTTGAAAAGCTGCAGATTCACAGCTCTAGAAATTATTTTCTCTCGAGCTATGACTTCACAGTTTTTCCTATCTTGAAAGCTGATAATCTGCAGCTTTTAGAGCTGTGAATTCACAGTAAAATACTGGGATATCACCGTTCTCTCTCCTAGACTGGCAATACTAGTTCACAAAGTCAAAAAAAGGTTTATTGACACGATCTAATATTCAATTATGTCAATTTTCTGTCGCAAAGTGAAATATGCAAATTGCAAATGAAATTACTTACAAGCATTTCTAACTCAATGTGAACATATAATTAATTATGTGCAAAGAAACTAACCTCTCTTAACCCGGTGACATTTCCGACGGGAAATCCATCCCGGAAGACCCACTCGACTCGTGGTTGTGGCGACCCGTGCCCCCCACAGCGCAACCTGCCGCCCAATCTGCTACTGAAAACGTATGAAGAGCTCCACTCGTCCAAAAAGCGGGGCCCACTCTCGTCCAGGGATAAACTCCAGGCTGAAATTTTAGAAAAAATAGAAAATCACGCTTGGTTTTCATATTTATAGCGTATGTTTAAAGAACCGAGATTGATTACTTGCAGTGAAATATTTTTGTGTGTATACAAACAAAGCTTGAGAAAATTACCAAATAACGCTAAAATATCCAACCAGTATTTAACACACATTTCTGGTTAGATTTATCTGAAATTTTTTGCATGACAAGTAATAATTTTGTACTTCGGCATCTGTCTTTATTAAACGTTATACTTTCACGAATATGGTTGGGAAATAGTAGTGACAAGTTGATTATGATAGGCGAAAAATAAGAATTTTAAGTTAAACGTATGCTAAGTTTAGGTTCATCGAGATGTAGATTCAAAATTAAATATTAGAAACAATAATTTTTCGAGTTAAATTTTGCAAATTTTTAAAAATATTCGGATTGGATTGATAAAAATTGAAAAAATATAATTTCACGATTTTATAATTTTAAAAACAACAAACCTAAAGGTGAATTAGTATTTGTTTATCCTAAAATTCTTATGTTCGTCGCTTATCATAATCAAGTAATTATTATCTCGCAATATTTCGCAATGATAATTTTCCCGAAGTATGATTACATTTAATGAAAGATGCCAAAATGCATAACGTGAATTCACCCCCATTCACCCGAACATACGTACCTCATTTGAATACCAATTAAAATTTATTATTATGAATTTCTCTCTAATTTTGAAAACAAAACAAAACATGGGATTTCTCTTGATGATTCTGGTCTAAAATTTGCCGTGGGCCGGAGAGAATTCCCAGCACATCAATATTCCACGCTGTTCTGGTTCCTCTCTCGCTTTCACCACTTTCACCACTATCTCTTCCCGCTGGTCGAGTGGAAATGCAAATCCGTACACACTCTCCACCGCGTTGTTGTAGCGTGGAAAATTCGGAAGGGGCACGCTTAAGAATTTGGGCGATATTTTGAAACTAACCGATTAGGTACTAGTAATTAATTTTAGGTCGTGCTACCAATTTGGCAATGTTTAGTTTCACTACCAGTGCATCGAATACTGTTTTTTTCAATTATATGATTTATTTCGACTTTCTTACGATTTTTTTACCATGCCGGTGTTAAAATTTTGTAATACGAACAATTTTAGCTCTTATTTTTATGAGTGGGAACTTATTTGTTCGAAGAGTACTGCAAACACGGCACCTTCTTCTGATAAAACAAGAGAAACGGGTAAACAACAACCGCAGCGGGATAAAATCCATCCGATTCAGCATCATTTCATCCTTCCACCCGGCATGGTAAACAACAGGGAGGGTGCAGACAGGATTATGGTGCTTTCTCCACTTTCACTCTTTTTTAAATAACAAAATTAGCACAAGTTACGATTTGTTGGGAATTTTTTTAAAAGGAAAAAATGGAAAAAATCAATTTTTGACGGATTTCTTTAATTCCCCTGTTTTTCTTTCACCTGCAGGAGAGAAATTTCATTGACAAAATGTAGATAAAAATTTGACTACCAAATTCCGAATAAAATCAGAACCTTGGTAAATAATGCTGTCAAATAGGATAACTCGCCCCATTTTCACTGCCACGAGGAACAGTGTCTTTATTAAATTTAACAGCATATCAACCCGTATGGAAATCATGTGTAGGATTCTGCACAGTTGAAAATTTATTTATTGGTAAGTTTAAAAGATACGGGATTTATTGAGAAATATGAATTTTGCATAAGCGGTGTCTGCATGATAAAACTTGCATGTGATTTTGCTGAAAATTTCGTTGCGGTGCATTATGCAGATCAATTTATGCATAATTCGCTCTGCATAAAGATACTTTTTCAACACAAAAATTCGACCAATCTTCGGCATGACACCCATTGAAATTTATACACAGGGAAATTGTTATTCGAATTGTTATTGTTCTTGAACTCAAAATAATTTACAAAGAAAATTTTTAAGTTTTCTCTTTTCCTCCTCGGATTTCTCCATACTAAAAATTTCTATACTTTGTATTTCACCTGGTTCCAGATATTTCAAACCTTCCGAAACGTAATTAAACCCAAAAATTCCTTTAAGTGGAGATGGTTCTCGTCCGTCTCTAATTTTCTGCACTTTCAACATTTTCAAAAACAACAAATTAGATTATGATTCCTTCCATCTCTAAAATGATAACGGCCCCGCTTTCATCGTGCATTATGTTGTTACCCATCATTGATGCAATATCTTCGTTCCCCTCCCTCGACCAGAATTGAGCCCGAGAAGGAAATGAAATCCAAACAGAGAGACGAAGTGAAAGTGAAGTTGCAGGGATGGCCAAAATACTTTCCTAAAAACTGCATTCTGAGCTCCGTTCTTCCCAGGGTTTGGATTTCCAGGGCTGTTACACACAAAAATAGGAGAAAATCTACCAGGAGAAAACAGCAGTCAAATAAAAATAGAAGATTTTAAGAAATCAACTTTGATCAACTTTGTAAGTGAGTTCCCTCAATGTTTGTTTGACAATAAAAAGCTGTTTTCTTCAAGAATCATTTATTTTTGCATGTCTCCTCCGAGTTGATTCTCCTTTTTTGTGGGTGCAACAGCCCTGGATATCCAAACCCTGGGAAGAACGGAGCTCAAAATACTGCATTTTAACCAAGTATTTTGCTCAGCCCTATGAAGTTGCTGGAGTCGTTTCAACATTTCATTTCATATTTGCTTTCACCTCGCCGCACTTCACTTCACGGTTGGCACGTCACTCCGAATTGTGTTCATATTTGCACTCTGCTTTCCATTCTCATTTCCATCCAGCCAGCGCGGAGGAGGATCCATTTGGCTCTCGGTGGCTTGGTTTCGGTCTGCGGCTTCGTTGCGGTTTTGAATTTGGGTCGCATATTTGTTTAAAATTTTATTAGGTTCTAGTTCAGATACAAAATTTTGAATGGGAGATGAGTTGGATTTGGATTTTGTGTGGATTGAGGCAAAATATGTAGGCTGGATGGGATTCGGTTTGTTTTAGTATTCGGTTGTTTGGTTGGAATTGGAAATGAATTGTTTTGCTGGGGAAGAAAATTAATGCAAAGTTGGAAAAGTGAAGGGCTTGAATTATTTATAATTTGTAGAGGAGAAAGCATTGGGTGAAAGATGTCTAGACGAATTTTAGCGCATTTTCGAAATTTAGGAGAGATTTGTATGTAAGAAAGTAAATTATTCCGATTTAACCAGTGCACAAATTGGTGGTCACATGCAGATCCTGAGGATAACTTGCCCCTTGCTATGTATATAGATAAGCTTTCTACAATCTCGAATAAAATGTACCAGATTTGCTTATAATTGATAGAACGTGGATACGTTTTTCCAATAATTCCTGTTTTTGCACGCTTGATTTTTGTCGTTCTTTAGTAAAAATGATGCCCTGATTAAAAAGTAGCGTATTAAATCAGCCCAATCAGAATGAGGCAAATTCGGAGATAATTAATTATGTCGCGTTTTAATGCGATGTTTTAATCGTGTACACCGTGTACCCGAGGTTTATTTGTACGGCTTAACTTGACCACTAAAAAATATGACCACTTTTCAAAATGAAATTAAACTGAAATTTCTACTTCATAAAAAAATAGGTACACACTTTTCCCAAGAATAGACAAAACCAAAACCATCTCCCCTAGAAATATATGATCTTCCTCCTCCAACTTTTGTCCATGATGAAATCGACTCGGCCACATAAGTAAAAGATAAACAATCGAAGAAAGTGGATCTACTTTCACTTTTACTTGCGCAATTTCCACGTTTTCGTTGCGTAACCGAACTCATCTACTTTCACTCGAATGAAAGTGCACATCCTTGGGCCCGGTCTGGTTTGTCGTGAAGGCTTCGACTTTTGGACAGTTCGAGCGTGGGAGCGGAATTGTATTGTCTCATTAAAATTTGAAGAGATTGGAAGAATTGGAATTGTGTTGCGATCGGAATGAACGAGCCGGGTTGAAGTGCACCCTTCAAATCTAATTGACACTGACAAACAGACAAGAGAGGAAAAAGAGAGAATGCAGCCAAAATAGAAAATGCTCTCTTTCGCCCAACTTGCCTAAGCCCGAGCTGGAGTGGGAGTGTAATTTATGGGTTAAAAGACATGATTTGACTCGTAAATGGCGTAAATTTTAGAAATTGTATAAATAACTTGAAGATGATAAACTGTCATTAGACCAGTTTAGCGTTTGACTATTGCGTTTTTGCGGTTGCCCTAAACCCACTAATCAATGTAAAGCAGTCACCTGTCTATTAGATTATGCTTATGATACTGCATGAAAAGTTACAAATGTCGCGTAATTTATTCAACTTGTGCAAAATATTTAATGGGATACAAATACCTTTCATCTGTTTACAAAAATTTGTTCCCTAATTTCCCTTCGAAATATGTAGTTAGAAAATTCGGTAAAAGTTTATAAAATAAGGTTACAAAATTTATTTATTTTACAATATTACCAAGACCTGCGTGAATTGCCTAAATGTGCGAAAACTAACACTCTTTCCGAGACGTTTGTACGTACAGACAGACATTCCAGTCATATGCATAAGTGCTTAAGTACAAGTACTAAACAATGGCCTAGAGTCATCTGTTGATAGCAATATGCTTATGATACTCTGTAAAAAGTTACAAATGTCGCGCAATTTGTCCAACTTTTCCTAAATAATGGGATACAAATGCTTTCCATCTGTTTACAAAAATTTGTTCCTTGATCTTCCTTCAAAATAGTTGCGAAGTTTAAAAGTTTGTAAGGCTACGGAATTTACTAATTTTACAATGTTAACATCGTAAAATCGAGGAGTACTGATTCAAATTCACACAGGTCTCGGTAATTACCAAGACCTGTCACATGTGAATTGTCTCAATATGCGACAACTAACACTCTTTCTGAGACATACTCACAGACAGACAGAAATATCAGTCTTATAAGTTCTTGATCCCACCCAAACCAAAATCTGTATCGAGTAATTCGAGTTTAACATTACTTAAGGGACCGTACACAAAAA